AAGAAAGATGACAGTAACATTTACATCTAACTTACAAATCATTCATCAACTGAATTTATTTTAATGAGTTTGTCTGGTTGAAATTACATTAACATGATCTGCAAAAAGAAATGGGATTCAGTCGGTTGCACAGTGACATTACATCTAAAGACACTGCCTGGAACACAGTTAATCTACCGGATAATGTATCCTAGTTTTTAAAGTAAATTCAGCAGCTCAAAAAAGTAGTCTTTTCTAAAGACTAGTCAGCAGACCCTGGTTATCTCCTTTCCTGCTGCTCATCATGCATATTTCTTGTGCTGCTGTGGTCTAAAAAAACAATCTAAAGGGTCAAAATCGTATTTATTTATATATTATGAAGTACTGTCATTCTTAGACATCTGCGTGCTTTAAAAACCTTTCATAACCAGTCTCATCTGGCAGTAATCAGATGCATTATCCACCAAGTTTAAGGCCTTAGTTCAAATGAAGCAAAACAATGACTAGTCAAACATGACTGAGGTAGGAAATAAGCACAGACACATTCAGATTTTGCTGCTGGCTGCAGCCTTCAGCTTTCTGAACCCACAGAAATTTGAAAGAAAATAGTCTATTATCAACATATTCTTCAACTTGGGAGGACAGCTGAGTCAGTGCATCTGTTTTGTTTTTTTTCTTTGAAAGCCAGACACACACTAAGGTCGCAGGAAGAGTATGCTCTCATCATGGCAACATCAAGATGCTGAGACATTCTTATACATTTTTCTTATACATTATTCCCAGTACTCTCTGAGTGCCTCATGGGTTGAGCTTGGAAACCTCAGGCTGCTTTTTCAGAGTTTAATGCCAAGTTAGCTGCTACAGTTTTCCACTGCTGCCAACAAACTTCTGAACTCTGGGCCAAGTTGGTGTTTTAGATGTTTTATTGAACTGTTAGTGTTAAAGGTGTTGCACTAGATCCTCTTGATGAGAAAAAAAAATTAACTGTCGTCCCCTTGAAAATAGCTGCACAGGGCTAACGTCGCTCCTACTGCAACTCTTAAAGCATTTGATTGGTCTTTCTTGTTTATTTTTTTACTTTCAAACTGGTCTGCCTCAATTTCCTCTGCATTACTTCTACTTACTTAAAAGGACTATATTCAAACAAAGACGCCATCTATTTGTAACTCCTGTTAAAGTGGTATCAGGTCCCATGGTGTCATGAATACAAGAACTTACCTGTACACAGGTTAAGGGACAGATGCCTAATCTTGGTAGGCCTACAGTATTGTTTCATTCCCACACTGAAGGACATTAGTTAGAGACCTATTAACCAAGCACACATTTTCTTGGACTGCTGCAGGAAGCCAGCATTCCCAGAGCAAACATATGCACACAAGCGGTGAACAAGGTTGAGAGGTTTTTGACATAATTCAAACTCATCACTATCCAGCAATCTTGCACCTGATTGCAGAAGCATATTTTGCAAGATGATTAGTAGAACCACTTTCTCTTAGCTGATTATGTACTGTTAGTTTTCTGGCTAATCGCCCTTGGGTAGAAAAAGTTAAATATAAAGAGGTAATGATGACTCATGGGTTTTGCATGGCGCTCTGTAAATGAACAGGTTCTGACAGTAAAGAAAGGTCCAGTTGAGGTTTTCTGGTCTGTTATTGTGCTTTCACACACCCAGACTTGAATCAGCAGAGAACAAAAAGCATGAGCAATGACAACAAAATAAATGGGAACAATCACAGCAATGGTTGCCATGGTAAATGTATGACATGGTGAAGTGCTAGCAGTCCACCCCTCTGCCTCTTATCACTCCATTGTCCTGCTAACATGTCTCCTCTGTGTATTTTTTCTCTTGGTTCATGCTACATGATGAGTGTTTTTCAGTCTTTAGCTCCCCCCTGCCACTCCCTTCACTCATGCTCTTTTTTTTTCTCTCTGTTCTTCTTTCCCTCCCTTCCTGCTTCCTCCCTCCCTCCTTCCCTTCACACCACAGTGGCCTCCCTACAGGCACCAGACAGACCCTGAATGCTGCACAGAGGAGGCGACCTTCAATGCATCATGCAAACTGACTGGACAGAGCCTGGCACAGATATAACAAACAACATCACCGCTCTCAAACTAGGCAACACAATCCTAACAATATTGTAATACAGCTGCCGAGACGCACACAAATGTATGAGTCCACCTCCTGCTGGACTCATACATTTAACAACAGCTTCTGTCAAAACTGCATCGCAAAACGTCAATCATAATTACTGTTTTTTTTGGAAGAATATTTTTATGTTAAACCAAAAACACAAGGAAATATATAATAAAGTATAAGGTTAAAATAGCATAATAATGTATGTCTTAGAAAGTCCACTTTATACTGTGCTGGGGAATTATATCGCCAAGGTAGAAAAGGTGTTGATTTACGAAATGTAGCATAAAATAACCCAAAATGAGGTCTAAAGGTCAGGAAGAAAATTAATATGGCAGCCGTTGAAATTATGTAGAAATATAAATATCAGTGAAGCCATGTATGTTTTATATTTGATAAAAATTAAGCAAAATCTCACAAAAAAAAAAAAAACTTTGAAAAGATATATAACTCTGGAAAGTTTTTTATTAGAAAACTTTGCATCCAAAATGCAGTTTAACAGCATAAAATATGATATAAAATCATAAACAATACAATAAAATCAATCAAACAAACAAACTTTTAAAGAAAATCTTCCTGTCTTGAGTTAAAAGCCATTACATAAAGGCTGAGTTTTTAAAAGAGACTAAAAATCAACAAGAATAAGGGAACCATTCAAAAGTTCTGGGTCTGTTATTGAAAATAATCTGTTTCTCCTTGTCACCAGTCTAGTCCTAAGAGCTAACACAATAATTTGATTGTTATATTTCAAAGCTTCATCTGAACAATAACCAAGCAGGAGATCAGAAAAAAAATTGCCAAATGCAGACAGAAAAGGATCAGATATGATTTTTTTTAATGCTTTTTCCTTTTTTTGGGATACATTATTTTAACATTTTCAAGTTACTGAAGCAAAAACATCACATATTTCCTAACTAAGAAACACATTTTATCATTCCAGCTGTTATAGGTGGCAGTTATATGCTTAAAGTGGGTTTGGGACACACAGAAGAGAAGAGCGGGTTGCAGCTAATGCACAGATCCATGCATGTGTGCGAAAAGTAAACACTATTTAACACAGCAGTAAAGTCCCATGAAGTTGGGGTCTGAACAAGATCGTGTTTAAGGCCATGAAAACAATGACACCCTGAACCAAACATCTTCTGGTTAGTGCAGACGAACTTTTTGGTAGAAAAAAAAAAAAGTAATATAGTGATTTGGTACAGTTGCAAAGCCTTAATAGAACGTGAGGAGTTGAACTCCCACATAAATGCTAGAAATAAACTCTATCAGCTGTTTACAAAATTCTGATTGTCAAACCTCGACTGCAAACTTATTATTAAATGTGTATAAAGAATGAATTAATTTGCTTATTCAAACTTTTTCCATAATGTTAAGACTTGTCAGAGACAATGTTTTTTTGTTTTTTTTTATCTTAGCCCCAAATGAAGACTACAGAAATCATAATTACCATACTTGCCTTAGCATGTTTTCAGTTGGAGGACTGTAAACTCCTCTGAGATTTCAGGTTCTTTTGGGGCCCCTAAAGTAAGCAGGGGGCTCTTAGCAACTGCAAACTTTGCTTATAATTCAGACAGTGGTCACTTATTCTGTTAGCTGCTATCAAAATGTGACAAATCTTTACTGTTTATACATATGAGTATTCAAATAATCCCCAGTTGTCAATTGCAGAATTTCTGGAGTTGTTCTATTGATCTCTAACATAAGACATTTACATCCAGTAAGATCACTATGCCCCTTTAGAAAAGCCCTGATGATGATGATGACATCATGACATGGTCAAAAGAAATTGACTTATAAAATGTTGCTTGTAAACATAATTTCCCAAAAATTGCTGCAACCCGTTAAAAATATGTTTATTCCCTTTCAATAAGTTTTATGTCCTAAAATGTAATTTAAATTTGGTTATTTGAAAAGGACAACATTTCCTGTGGTAGAGATTTATTAAATATGTTATCTTTGTCTTTTTGTAGAAAACATCATGCAATGTTTGTGGCTCTGAACAAGTTACTTTAGCTGGACTGTAGTAATGTTTTTTTTTTTTTTTTTCCCCGAAATAAATCTACTAACTATTACAGAAATATCTCTATTTGATCTTTCTAGGTGCCATTTTTTATTTATTTATTTTTTTTTACATAATTTTCCATAAACATTTGTTATATATAAGTTATCTTTTTTTTTTCAAGCTCATGTTTGCAGCTCTAACTGAGTTTTATTTAATGGACAGAAGTAAAAAATGCCTATTTGGGTTTTAAAGGTTGCAGACGCCTGTACTAAGTAAACAGGAACCCATGCATATCACCAAAACGAGTTAAAAACAGAATGAAAGGCAAAAGGAAATTAATAGGCACTGCAGAGCGAGGCAGTGTCAGGAGGGATAGGTCAGAATCCCTCTAAACTATTGTTTGCATTTATTCTTCCATAATATCTCATGGAAGAATATTTGCGAACTTGCCGAGTTTAACAAGCAATTCAACCACTTACTATGGAAAATGTCAAAAAGTTTCAAAAATCCTTGCTATAAACTCTATTTCTTGTAATTCTGTTATTTTATAAATAATTTTATAATTTCAATAATCCTGACAATCCTGAAAAAGGAAATATTTTCACTTAATTCAGTATCTAAAAGGATGTTATCTTATCATATAATCCACCTAATTATCTGGTTTTAACTGCACGTTAGAAACAAAATAAATATTTTCTCACAACGTGAAAAGGACAACATTTATTAAATCTGTTTAACTCTCAGCATGCTGGATCTTATAGGACAGTGTGTGCTAAAGTTGTCAAAAGCAGATATAACTTGTTGCTTAAAAATATTGACTATCATAAGGTGTGACGGGTTTACAGGATACATTTCACTGATGATTAATTGGTGAAAAACGGATTTATTTGGGAAATTGGCGCACAGGTTGCTGAAGCTGCTATCTTCCTTAAAATCGGTACACTTTGTTCATTCCTGGAAATAAACAATAGGTTGTTTTTCCTCCATCTGTGCAGAAATAAGCCAGCTTTCTGTGAACTGTAGTGTCAGCAGGACCCATCGCTCACCTGTCAGGCTGTCGTAGCACTCGATCTCGGTGCTCTCCACGGCTCTCCGCTGCTCCTCGGTCAGCTTGGCCGCAGCTTGACTCAGCAGGCTGACCTCGGAGCTCGTCGTCCCGTCAACAACATGAACGCCTTTGAGCTGGAGCAGAGCGCGGTGGTACTTGCCTATCGCCTCCCGGAATTTCTTCTCCTTATAGCAGCGATGACCCTCTGTCTTGAAGTCGATAGCTTTCTGGATCTTGAGCTCCATCTCCATTTCGGCAGAGCCGGCTCGAAACCCTCCGTCTCCTCCTCCCCCTCCACCGGCAGCCGCTGAGAGGCTGCGGCCGCCAGTCTCCGGGAAGCTCTTTAGGCTTTTTATCGGGTGTTGTTTAGCTTCCATGTCCCTCAGTGAATGCAGCTGGAGCGGACCATTGTGCTCTGTGTGTTTCGTCTGGGAGGACCGGAGCAGCGTGCTGTGCATAAAGGATGCGGTATCGGCGGAGGCAGGCGGCGGCACCAAACTGTAAGGAAGCGTCGATAAAAAGGAAATAAAAGGTCTCCAGACACGTCTGTGGAATTTTACTTGTTGTTCAAAGAATTAAAGCTTTAAAAACACCCAGAGGAAGCATGAGGAAACATCCCTAAACGGTACAACCGTCGAAAACTGAATTCCTCCTTCTGATCTCGCGGAAGGATGCTCCTGTGGTTGGCACGCGCAGCTTCAGCACCACGGACAGCGCGCGCGCGCACACGAGAAGCCCCTACCGCACGGCTTCATGGGAGAAAAATAAGTCGTGAGACGTTGCTGCGGAATATTTTACGTAAAGTGAGCAAACACATGGTATTCATCAAAATCACTTATTTTCTTTTCTACAAAAAGAATCAGATCTTTGTTAATAACATTTTCTTACAGTGAGGCAATATTGCATTGCTGTATACTTATAATTAGGTCTTATCATTCATTTAATGATGAAACATATAAAATTCAGGTTTTTTAAGATTTCAGAATTCAGTAAAATCCAGGTTTTACTTATTTGCCACTATAACAAGAAGTAGTTGATGATTTCATCTGATAACGTTTTCGAGAGCAGGTACAAAAAAACATGAGGCTACATGCGATATGAGAGAAAGACAGCGACCTCAGGTGGGCATAGAGTAAATTACACACACAGAGATCTATCTATCTATCTATCTATCTATCTATCTATCTATCTATCTATCTATCTATCTATCTATCTATCTATCTATCTATCTATCTATCGTTCTTACATATATTGGATATTGGCCCTATTCTAATGCCCTTTTATTTATCAAAGGCTGGATAAAGTCTGAACAGCTGTGTTTTTAATAATAGACCTTTGCAGCTTTTAGTTATTTTTTTCAATGTGTTAAATATGTAATTTAGGTCCCCCTGATAGCGGCTGCGCCTCGGAACTTCCCTACCGGTTCTTTACCTGGGAGCAAGTTACTACTCTTACCTCAAACTGGGTAAAACCATATAACAAAGGACTATAAAACAGGAGTAAAAAAGTAACAGCGTTTATTCCAGGTCAGGTCGTTACAGGACAGAGAAATTGCTTAGGGTTGGCACAGCTGTGGGCTCAAAAAACGTCAGAAAGCATCTAGCAACGATTGAGCAAAGATTGAGCCCCGAACAAGGTCATCTCCACCTTCTTATACCTCATGAGTCTATGTGTTGCATCAGGTGGATGCTTAATTGTCCGTATCAGAAACTGACACGCCATCCATGCCTTGAAATTCATGCATCTTGCCACTTTACCTAAGGATTACACATAGCTCTCCTTTATCAGTCGGGCTCCAAGATCTGCCCATATCCTGTGTATTTTTAAAGACATGAAGGCTGTCCTGATTAGTTGGGCTCCGTACACACAGTGACATCCACCATGAGAAGGAAGGCCTTCTACTCTGTCTAATCTGGCTAACAAAGTAACAATGCACATGATGTATAAAGAATAAACCTAACAAATGTCTCCATAAATGTTACACACTGTTTCTCTTTCTCTGTGAGTTATATATCTTTATTTGTGTTTTGATGTCTTGCTTGCTTCCTTTCCCCTATTTGAGGCCATGTTCAGGGTTTCTTCCTGTGTCTGATATTTCTTATATTGGATCATTTTGTTCCAGTATTAAATTTTTTAATCTTGTTTAATTTGTTAGGTTATGTTAGGTAATAAAGTAATTTTATTTCAATTGAATAAGACTATGAAGTAAGTTCAGGAAGATAATACAACTGATCACATATTCCTTAATTTCTTCATTATTATTGCTATTGTTTCCTTGTAGTTAACAGTCTTTAAAATGTAACATAGAAATATGTTGCATAAAGTTGTTTAAAAATATGAATAAAGAAAAATGTATAAAACCGGTTATAATACAGGAAATCAAAAAACTATTTAAAAAACAGCAGCAAAAAAAAAAAATCCACTGTGTAACCCAAGAAAATGCCATGGGGCAAGGCTTACCTGTGAATAGTGGGCTAATAATAAGTTGTATAACATTGCACTACGACATATTGGTGTTGGATGGCGTCCAACTTCTAGCGCTCAATAACAGTTTATCCAGCCCAGGATGATTGAACTACATCCAATAATTGTTCTGCATTTCTTTGTTTTTGTCCATCAGACAGATTCGTTTGGATTTCACACCTCTCCTTTACAATCTGTTTTGGGATCAAGATAGGGCTTGCTAACTGTTGTGCTTGGGATTGTTGTCTTGTTGTCTGTTGAAACAGAAATCCTCCTCCTCACATAAAAAGCCTTAAATAACCATCTTTTATAAGAGATCTGATTATTCCTTATGTTCCAAACAGAGCACTTCACTCTCATTCTGCAGGTTTACTGATGGTTCCTGGAATTCTGTAAATGTAGAATGGGAGGCAGATCTTTTAGTGATCAGGCTCCTCTCCTGTGGAACCAAGTACCAGTCTCAATCCATAAGGCAGACACTGTCTACTTGTAAGGCTTCAAAGTTTTCTCTTTGATGAAGCTCAAAGTTAAAAACAGAGCGATGTTTGCTCAGTTGCTGGGTGAGTAGAGGTAGGTGGAGGTAGAGCATTAACAACCTGATCCAGCGGGGAAAGAATTTCAGTCCCTAATGAAGTTTTTTTCTTGGCTCAACCTTTCTCATACCTCATCCAAAATATTCAGTCATCCTGGGCTATTGTCTATATTTATGCTACAATATGTTTGGGTTGCTGGATCACTTCTTCTCATCCTGCTTCACTCTCTCTGTTCTCTCATTCTGCAGTATTTGAAGTTCATCACATAACTTTATATTCTCTCTGCTTTTTCTCATCATAGTAGCTTAATACGATCAGTCCCTGTTCCACTGTGACTCCATCTTGGATTGAAATATCAGCTGTACTGCTGCCATCGACATCTCTGTTTATAGATGCTGGAGATTGGCCCATTTTAATTGTAGTAGACACCCTGTCTATTTTTAAGAGTAGGCTTAGAACTTTCCTTTTTGATGCATCATATCAGTGATTGGCAAAACTAGATTATCACCTAGGTTCCATGAACAAGACCCTTAGCCTCAGAATGCTCCCTGGTTGCTCCTTACTCTTCCTGAAAGTAAGAAGAACCTTACTTACTTCAATCATATTTTGTTCAGATCCAAGATTCTTTTTTGCCCTCAATATCTTAAAAGAAATTCATCACTTCTGATGTTTTTATTCTTCTCTTTTTCTTTAAAGCATAAAAAACATTTCTATATATTTACAGTGAAACCAACGGCATGTTTAGATTCTTTCTGATTGGGGTGAACTGAGGTGAACCTGAAACCATTATTTACAGGAGGTAATGTAATTTTTTTTTTTACTACATATTCAACTTCTAAATGGCTCAGCAGATATAAAATAGCATTAAAACAGCAAATACTGTGTTCATGCAAGATGTCTCATTTACAAATAAATATGTATCCAGTACAAGTCAATTATTTAGTAATGTAACCTGTGAGCAGCCTTATATTTTAATAAACTAAGAGCAGAAATATAAAAAAAACTAATGTTTGTGGTTATATAGACATACTTGTATCTTTAACAAAAGCTTGAGTAAAGCCACTGCTGAAAAGCTAGCCTTTTTCAAAGTAATACCTAAATCCAACTATTTAGTCAACCATTACATGATAAATCGTTTTTATGTTTGTATTATATTTGTATTCACGGTGAGCTAAAACAAAATATGCTGCATATTTCACTGCGTCTCAGTCTCTTTGGTGCCTTACAGAATAAGATGGTCGCTTCAAAAAGCTAAATTTGATCACCTCATTCAGCAGCGGGGTGAGCAGCCTAGGAGGGTTCAGCATTTTAATCAAAAAATGGGGGTGTATTTTGGGTATCACCACTGTGGTTTTATTTTTAGATCATTTAGTTATTTCATTATTTGGTAAACTGGTTGTTTTATATAAACCGATATATTAAATGATTAATACGTTTCTGAAAGCATTAAGACAGCCTTGCTCCGGCCCCAAAATGTGCATATGCAATGTACACGCAATGGCAAGTCTAACCTGGAAGCAGCAACATTGCAAGTCCTGCCTTAGTAGACGTGTGTAAACACAGGCAGGTTCATGTTAAGCCATGAATTCAAATCATGGTTAAAATGGGCCAGTAACAATATCAGTCTCCATGGAAGACATTTTCCACAAAAGATGTTTTCATCTGAAAATGCTTCTTTCATGGCTTCAGAGTTCTTTGTCATGACCAAAAACATCACAGGTGGCAGGAAGTTGTTTCAATAAAAGTCATGTTTCCACATGGTTGTATTCACTGGGAGCAGGAAGGAGGTTGGAAAGGTTTATTGACAAATCAGGTGCTCAGTGTTCTTATAGGAAAGGGGTGTAGACATTGCTATTATATGATCCTGCATAACAACTCACATTTTAATCATATGTTGTTCAGATCCATAATTCTCCCCTCCTCAGTATCTTAAAAGAAAGTCATCACTGCTGATGTTTGGATCTTTGCTTTTCTTTAAAGCATAAAAAACATTTCTATATATTTCCAGTGAAACCAACTGCAGGTTTAGATGCTCTCTGAGTGGGCTGAGGTGAAGTATCTACAGTGAACTGATGTCACCTATGAGGTTCTACACAAGTTTCCAAGTAGAAATATCAAGAAGGTTCTAGAAAACTATTTGTGGTCAAAAAGTTAAAGGTGCTACTATCATTTAACGGAGTGATTAAGCAAAGATATGTTGCTTTCCTTGTCTCAAGGGTCCAATGAGGTTTGATCAACATGTTTACCTTTTTTTTTTTTTTTTTTTAACAGCTGAAAAACATACAGTACATACTGAAGCCTTTGATGACAAACATGATACAGCAGGATTTTTCAGGTTCAGATCAAGCAATAACATAATTACTTGGATTGTTTTCAACTGCAGGCTGATAATCTAAGGGGATTTATTTAACTACTTTAGGAGAAGTTCATAAATTGAGTGCAAAAGCAGTTGGGTTCTTATACAGGAGCATTTCAAATGACTAGAATATCACTGAAGACTTTATTTATTCCAGGAAATCAATTCAAAAAGTGAAACAGATTCGTTCAAAAGTGGTATATTTTTTACTCACAGCTAATGGAAAGCAAAAATGTACTTTGTATAAAAATTTGACTGGTAATTAAAAAAGATAGTTATGTTTATCTGCATGGGTCAAGACAACCATGTGAACTTATCCTAATAGTTAACTACAAGACAGTGTTTGAACCTT